TGAGGGAGAGAGAGGGAGGGGCACGTTGCGGTAAGAGGATTTAACAGAGATCGATTCGCGATCTCCGCGATATTTATATTATTTCTGTACAATGTACGTATAGAACTCCTTTCTGAACTCCTCTCGCACTCTCGACCATCTTTTATTTTTTTAGTTGGGTTTTTGGGAGGAGAGAGTGGAAGGGGCACATTGTCGATTGCGGTAAGAGGATTTAACAGAGATCGATTCGCGATCTCCGCGATATTTATATTATTTCTGTACAATGTACGTATAGAACTCCTTTCTGAACTCCTCTCGAACGTCTTTTATTTTTTTTTTAGTTGGCTTGGAGTTGGTTTTTTGGGGGAGAGAGAGGGAGGGGCACGTTGTCGATTGCGGTAAGAGGATTTAACAGAGATCGAAAAAATAAAGTAATTTGGGGATAAGTTTGAGATGGATGTTGAGTATTCGTTATTCCACGGATTATTTCGCTAATTTCATCGGTTAGTTTCTTTCCAGATTCGTTTCGAGGGAAGGGGAAGAACGGACGGAAGCGATCGGTAGCGATCTCGTGACTCGTGGGCCGGCAAGGAACACCGGAATCGAGGTGAAAAATATTCTAGAAAGCAACTAGGGGGCCCTCGTTATATTACGCTCGTAAAGAAAGTAAATATCGCGTGCCGTAATAAGAAACAATTAACGGGAGGAGGAGGAGGAGCGTGTGCCGAACGAAGTGTGCCAAGTTCGGAGCCTCCTTCTGCATGATTGCTGCAACTTGGCGCAGCAGAAGATTTCTTTTGCCTGGTTTCGAGCGTTTAAATAAAAAGGAAAAGAAGAAGAAAAAAAAGACATAACACGCGCGATCTCTTTTTCCTAATCGTTGGGAAACTCGTGGTGTCTTAACCTGGATAGAAATAAAAGAATTACTCCAACCCGTCCATAGATGGAAATGAGAAAACATTCAGAAGCAAGGATTCGAATACGATTTGATTAAGGAGATGGGATAAAAAGAATCAAATATTTGAACAACGCGGCAAAAAAAAGTCGATTGAGCGTAAAGTAAATAAACGGATTCTCTTGGACGTCGTACGAATCGGTGGAAAGTTGGAATACCGTGCGGTTGTTTGCGAAATGATACGCTGCTTCGTGGAGGAACAGTTATTGGTGAAGTTATCGGCGAAATCAAGGGGACAACGCGGCAAGTAACGATATCGCGAGATGTCGCCGAGATCCGAGTAATAAAACTAGGCGGTGGAACGTGTAGAAAAACATACATCCGATATCCGCTTTTCATTCTTGAATCGAGTAGCTCTTGCTACTTTCCCGAAACGGGTAAAAAAGATTGAATTGTCGAGTTACGAGATCGAAGATATATCGATCTGAATCAACTTTGAACTCGTTNACTTTTTTTTTCTTTTTCGCATTTCTTTCCAAATCTATTTTTTTTTTTTTTTTTTTATCAGAGTTCGCCTCGAGAGTTTTCGGCCGGTTATTAAAATTTTATTCGACTTTCGACTCGTAAACAACGTCGTCCCCTCGAAACTTTCGAAATATTCAAATTTCCAAAGATAATCGGTCAACCGGTCGATAAATCACCCAGTGAAATCTAATTCCTTCGATCGGTGAAATTAAAATTCGATACCGAAACTAAACCGCTAATCCACATGACCTGAAACGCGAACACCGCCGTGTTCGTATCTGAAATCACCGATCGTAGATTTCGCGCTAGAATTTCCATTTCGAGCCGTGAATCGATCGGTTTGTCCTCGAATCCATATATATATATATATATCGATTCTTTTCATTCGCGTTGAAAAACTCGAAATTACGGATTGGTTTGTTCGATCGGCAAAATGTTGAAGAAAGAAAAAAATAAAAGGACGAGAAGTATGCCAGCCGCGGATTCATATATGGTAAACGATTATTCGACGTCGATCTTCCAATCCCCGGAAGGTGTTTTGGTAAAGGTTCGAGGACCGTTACGTCGAATTCCAATTCGTCAGTTTTGGACGCCCACAGGACAGCGTGGGTGATCCGATTTTTCAACGATTTTATTTGAAGGTTCTTATTTTTCAAGATTTAACATCGATCGTTGTAAATTTTAAATTGGAAAATTTTTCGCGTAAGGATATTATTAATACCATTCAAGTTGTCAATCGTGTGAAATTGGAATTTTTGCGACGTTGTTTATACAACGATCACTTGTATAAATTATTGTACTTCAGACACTGTACCTTTGGCTTCTTCGAGGCTAATGTTTAACATCCTATCTGTCTTGTGGAGAATATCCACTCATTAAATCGCATCTTATCTAAGTAAACACACCTAACTGACCAGGAAAACCGCAGGTATGTACATCATCGATTACATTCATCCAGGTAAAAGCAGGCATACTTTCGTGCCAAACTCTCGTTCATCCAACTCGACGTATATACATATATTCAATGCCTCCCAGGCGTTTTATATTCGATTCATTAACAACAATTTTCCCCTTAAATTCCTTCCTCAATTTCATAAGTGACTTCGTATTAAAAACGAAAAAATACGATTGCAAAGAATCATTTGTATTCGATAAAAAGTTTTTCAAATCGTAATCTTCGCGAGGAATAAGAATCGAATAAAATTCTTCGTAAATTGGATATTATTCGTTCTATAATAAAATTTCAATAATTCCGGATTTGGATTTAATAAACAAATTCGCCAATTTAATAAATCGTTCTCTTCGTCCAATTACGAAACTGACGAAGAATCAAAAAAATTCTCTTATGAGCTCGAGAAAAAAAGAAAAAAAGAAAAAAGGATCGCGAACAGTCACGTGCGATCTTTGGTCGATTTGCATTGCTCGAGTGCCTTTGATATCTACCTGTTTCGTTAACTTTCTCCTCGGTAACCTTGTTCCCTCATTTTTTTTTTTTTTTTTTTTCCTCCTCCTCCTCGCTTGATACCACTCGTATCGACGATTTGGTCGACCGTGTCACGCTCACACGCACGCAGAAAATATTTCCTTCCACAGCATCGACGAATATTATTGTTAATTTCCATTTGTTAATAGGGATAGAGATGTTCGAAAGACATCGTAGTATTAATGGCAGGCCATTTAAAAGTGAAATCATCAACGTTTCCGGTCGTTTATATCGCGATATTGTTGGACGAAACGAACGATGGAACGAGTTTGCGGCCTGTTTTAGAAATTTCTTTTTCCTTGAATATTCAATAAAATTATAGAGCACGCTTCGCTCCAGTATTCCAGTTGAAGCAAGGAGGCTTTGCTTTGCAGAATTCTACTTACACAAAAATTTATATATAACAAACATCTTTGTAACGAGTATTAAATAACAGATACTGAGAACCATAAACTGAGAAATGTATGAAAACCAACGATCGCAACGAAGATAAATGATCAGCAAGAATGATACTGCGCTCTTTTATATTCAGACTAATTAATTCCTAATTACACAATTTCCCAATTCTACTCAGAATCTTCCTGAAAAAGGATCAAATCAGACGCTCACAATGAGAAGCGACGATTCCATTGTGAGACTAGATGATAAGTAAAAACTGGTTCGTAAAATCGATTGTTTTTGCGCGAGACTTTCCGTGTTTTCCGTGTATCGGCCGTTTCCGGTCTTGGTGGCTCGAACGAGGCCACTTGGTCAACAGGTCCGCTCCATCCGATTCTCTGGATCGCGAGTGAGAATCG